CCAGATTGGACCCATAAAAGGCTCCACCATTTACTGCTATCTTCAGGTGCAAGCCCTGCAGCCCGACATGTATGTGGGGAATGTCTTTATAAGGCTGGGAAAATCGTACCGTGTGGCTGCTTCCACCAGATGGACATGAAACTGTTCCTTCCTCCACGTGAACTGCTGGCACTAGTGGCGGCGCGCTGACAGCAGGTGAAGTGGTTTTCTGCAAGTCTTCTACTTTTTTCTGGTATGCAGCGACTTGGTTTTCGTAGGTAGATATGTTTTTATTTAAGTCTTCTAAAGCAATTTTATCTATGTTCAGCTCTGTGGTCAAATTTTCTAGTCGACGTTCATAGTCTTCAAAACGTAAAAGTAATTTACTAATTGTATCTTGATTGTCAGAAACAGTTTTCCGAATGTCTCCACAGACTTGGGTATTGGGGACTGGGTTAGACAGGCAAGAAATATTCATAAGCTTTAAGCGAGAAATGGGTTTCCCTTGATTTGTTAACGCGAAAACCTCACAGTAGTACACGCCAGTCTCGTTCTGAGACGGGAAATCCCAGTCCAGGTCCAAAAACGCCACGTCACCGCCAGTACTGGACTTCCCGATCTGACCAGTGAGAGAGGCGTTGACGGAGGAGACAGGCGGACCGAACAACGTCACCGACGCCAGAGTGACATTTTGCTGCTGGGACGGGTCCAGTTTGGAGATAACGATCGAAGTCACGTGACTTAACTGGCTAAGGCCAGATTCATCCTCGCTTCTTGTATCTATTCTCCCCTCAGTTTCGTCTTCAGAAATCCCCGAAGAGGATGGCAAACCTCCTGCAGGTGGGCGTTCAACAGACTGTTGGACGACTTCCCGGCTCTGCCGACGGCCAATAATTGTCGGTCCACCGACCCCTGAAAAGACATCGTGTGAGGCCAAGGAGCAGTGGAGTTGGAGATGCTTGGTCAGTCCTGGACTCAGCTCGGAGGGCGTCCCTTCGAAAACTAGGTCAGATACTTGAGAGAATAGATGAAATAGTAAAACACATTACAAAAAGGGTGTAAGTAAACGTCAGTATCACAAAGATACTCCACTGATAAAACAACCATTGTGCAGTCAAGACTAGAGGTATTATTGATCTCAGGACCAAGATAGGAAGTAAAAAATTTAGTGTCTAAAACTCTGAGGTAGGGTTTTGAAAGAAAATATCTTACAAATGAAGTAGCTGAAGAAAGTTTATTTCTTTTTATATGCAGTAGTAGTAGTAGTAGTAGTAGTAGTAGTAGTAGTAGTAGTAGTAGTAGTAGTAACAGCAGTAACAGCAGCAGCAGCAACAGTTAACTCTAACTTTTTAAACAGTCTGCATTCAAATTAAAGGGTATACTCTCCGATCCGCAGTTTTTAATGGGTTTTTATTTGCTTTGCTGTGTTCAGTTTTTACTTTTTCGTTGTTTCTGTTTTCTTTCCTTCTTTGTATTTGTTTTTCACGAACTTTCAACACAGACAACAGATTAGAACTTATTCACTTCTGTCTGTCCGCGTTGTAACCAATCATGTAACAGATTCCTTAATTAGGCGTGCGTTAGAGTAGAGTGTAATGTTTGTGAAAATATACCAACTGTTTTTATGTTTTTGGTGCGTTCTGTATATCCCATAACATTTGACCCGCTTTAGGCTAAAAATCAAAGAAAACATGTCGGATCGGAACCTTAGTTTGCCAGTAACCTTCATTTAAATGGACTTCAAGATTTTGCTGGTCTTTCAACTTATACCCGTATGCAAAGACCTGAGGAGATTAATCAGAGTGATTTGTTTTTTTATCTTGTTTGAACAACAGTCGAACCAAAGTGAACAAGCTGTAGTAAACATACAGACGGACAGAAAGCAAGGCAGGGTAAAAGAGAGGCGGACGGGTAGATAGACAGACAGCCAGACAGACAGGCAGGCAAACATAA